CCCACTGAAACAGAAAAACAGAAAGTCCCCACTTCATCACAGGAGTGAGGGGCACCGGCAGGGCAGGGGGGAGGGGGCTGGGCTAGGAGGGGCTACAGGTCTGGAGTGAGGGGCACCGGCAGAGTTGGGGGTGGGAAGGGCCGGGCTGGCAGTGGGCTGTGGGTCGGGTGTGAGGGGCACCGGCAGGACGGGGGGGGCAGGGCTAGCAGGGGCTGCGGGTCGGGAGTGAGGGGCACTGGCAGGGCTAAGGGCAGGAGAACCAGGGCTCCCAGAAGTGGGTAGGGGGCAGGCAGTAAGGTAGCCCCCCTTCCCTCCCGCTGGGAATCCCACCCCACTCAGGCCCAGAGATAAAGGCCTGGTTAATGCCCAGCCCTGGGCGGGAGCAGGGTCTAGTGGCTAGAGCAGGGTGGGGAGGGGGCTGGGAGCCAGGACTCCTGGGTTTCATTCACATGCCCCTGCGTGCCTCACTTTCCTGGGGCAGGCTGTGGGGGTCTCTGTATAGGGGCTGCTAAGGATGAGGCCTCTCCCCCACCTCCCCCAGGCAGAGGGGCAGAGCGAGGCTGGCTCCGTGTTATTAGCCCTAGGCTGGGTTCACCCCCCCCCCGTGCCCTCAGTTGTGGGGCTGAAGCCCCTCGCCCACCCCCTGGGGCTAACTCAGCAGCGCTCCCCGCACCTCGGTTTGTGGCTTGGAGGGGAGACACCGGGGTGAACCAGGAGGGAAGACGCGGAGCCAGGACTCCTGGGTTCTCTCCCAGCGCCGGGAGGGGAGTGGGCGCTAGCAGTTAGAGCGGGGGGCTTGGGAGCCAGGACTCCTGGGTTCTCTCCCAGCGCCGGGAGGGGAGTGGGCACTAGTGGTTAGAGTGGGGGGGGGGCTGGGAGCCAGGACTCCTGGGTTCTCTCCCAGCACCAGGAGGGGAGTGGGCGCTAGTGGTTAGAGCGGGGGCCTGGGAGCCAGGACTCCTGGGTTCTCTTTCCTGTCCCCTCCCTGGCAGGGGGAATCCGCTAGGGGGCGGAGCCCGGGGGGGGTCAGTAGGGATGGAGGGGGTCGGGGATGGGTGTAATTCAACCCTCGGCTCCTTTTCTCCTCCTGCCTCTGCGCCCGGCCAGCCCCTGGGGCGGGGCTCGGCTCCCCGGCAGGACCGGGCGGGGGAGACGCGTCCCGGCAGGGAAAGAGCGGGGCGGCCTCCAGCGGGGGCGGGGCGGAGGCAGGGAGAGAAGGAGGCGGGGAAGGAAGGAAGGAGGGAGCGGGGAAGGAAAGAGGGAGGGAGGCAGGGAGGGAAGGAAGGAAGGAGGGAGGGGGGAAGGAAAGAGGGAGGCAGGGAGGGAAGGAAGGAAGGAAGGAGGGAAGGAAGGAAGGAAGGAGGCAGGGAAGGAAGGAAGGAAGGAAGAGGCCGATCCCCGCCCGCTGGGACAGGACAGCCCGTGAGCGAGCGAGCGCAGAGCTGCGGGAGAACTAGCAAGACGGGCCGGCCCGGCCGGGCGGAGGAGGACGAAGGACACAGAAAGTTTCCGGGCCGGCGCGGGGGGAAGCGAGTGAGGGATCCGCGCCCTGGGCTCTGGAGGGGGAAGGACAGAAGGAGGCAACGACCGAGAAGAGCCGCTGAACCTCCTGTTGGGGCGTTTGTTCTCCGCTTTGTTTCGTTCTGTTCTTTTATCCTCCCTCTGCTCAGTCTGCTCCATTCCCCCTTTTCTTCTCTCCCTCCTCCTCCTCCCTGCTCCATTCCCCCTTTTCTTCTCTCCCTCCTCCTCCTCCCTGCTCCATTCCCCCTTTTCTTCTCTCCGTCCTTCTCCTCCCTGCTCCATTCCCCCCGTTCTTCTCTCCCTCCTTCTCCTCCCTGCTCCATTCCCCGTTCTTCTCTCTCTCCTTCTCCTCCCTGCTCCATTCCCCCTTTTCTTCTCTCCCTCCTTCTCCTCCCTGCTCCATTCCCCCTTTTCTTCTCTCCCTCCTTCTCCTCCCTGCTCCATTCCCCCGTTCCCCTTTTCTTCTCTCCATCTCTTGCTTTTCTCTCCCTCCCTCCTTTGCCCCAGCTCAGAGCCAGCTGCAGCCCCTCCCAGGCAAAGTACAGCCCAGGGGGCCAGCGGGCGCCCAGCCCAGAGCCCGGGTTTGGCTTCAGCTGCTGGGCAAAGCCCCTGATGATGGGGTTGGGGAAGACGCGAACTCCCAAGAGAGCCGCTGGCTGCTGAGGCCACAGATTTCTTGGGAACTCAAAGGGAGGAGTTTGGCTCTTTCTTTCTTTCTTTCTTTCTTTCTTTCTTTCTTTCTTTCTTTCTTCTACAGGTTCAGCAAAAGATCTTCTCTATCTCATCCAAATCTCAACCCCCTTGCACTCTATCTAGCCCCATTCCCCCCCCCCCCCCATCTCTCTCTTTATGCAACCTAGGCTGGAAGGGGGCTATTTTTGGCCACACCATATTTTTATGGATTTTGACCTTTGCCAACTGGTTTTTGGATGTTGTGACTCTTGGTTCCGGTGCCGTTTGCCATCTGGCCAGCTCGGCGCCTGTGTCGTTCAGGGCATGGTGCAAAACTCTGGGATTGGGGGAGATGCTGAAGCAAACGACCGGGTTTGAATTTTGAGCGTGGGGGGCGTATCTCAATTTTCTTGGAAGTTGCAAAAAAAAATTAACTGTGTGTGTGTGTGAGAGAGCAATTTTTTTCTGCACTTTAAAGTTGGCACCGCTTTTTCTGTGGATTAAAACAATTCTGGATTTCTGCATTTGCCTAATTTCTGGATTTTTTGATCCATTAATTAGCAGAATTTCTCAGCAATTTCCACCCCAAGATACTGATTTTTTTTCTAGCTTTGGGTAGAAAGTTTGCAACATTTCGGGACTTGTGAACATGCACCATTTCTGTGGAAGGAGATTCAGGATATAAGGACGTGGTTTTGGTGAGGTTTCTGGAGTTAAGATTATATTTCTTTCATTGTGGGGGGAAAGCCTTGTCTAGATTTGTGGGGAGTCTGTGATTTTTCTGGAGATTTGAACTTGTTAAAAAACTCTGGATTCGGGAGACATTTTGTGACATTGCTGGATCTTGGAATGTGCAAAGAACCGGTGTATTTTGAGGGAAATTTCATGGCATTTCTGGATCTCTTCACTTGCAAAAAAGGGGGGAAATTTTGAGCTCATTGAAAAATCGTCTTGATTTGGGGACGTTTGCAAGAATTCTGGAGTTTGGAATGAGGCCACATTTCTGGCTCCTTCGGCTCACAAAAATGGTCTAGATTTGGGGGAAAGGTCAGAAGATTTCTACACAGTTGCAAGATTGTTTTGCAAAAATTGTCTGGATTTTTCGCTGGCAAGGTTAGCAAGCTTTCCTGGCTCGCCCAGGTCTGCAAAACCCCGAGCTTGGCTGCTCTGAGCTTTGGGGAGGATCTGAAATGCCTGCCCTTTGCTTTCTGGTTGCAACGCTGTCCTGTTCTTGCAAAATCGGATTCTGTCCTAACTTGTTGAACCTCCTTGTGTGCCTCGCTCCACGCTCCTCCATGAAAGCAGCCAGGCCTCTCTGCATGTGCCTGTGGTCGCTGGGTGTATTTTGCTGACCAAAGACGCTGTTTGCAGAGCAGAAAAGACTCCTCGATCCTCCGGAAAATGAGTGGGATTTTGCTCTTCCACGGCTGGACTTTCTGAAAAGAGTCGTGTTCGGATCCGAGGGGAAACCCAACGGATTTGCTGAGTTGGCTGGAAACCACTTAGGCCAAAAATATTGGGCTTGTTCGTTTGTTTGCTTGGTCTCCAACGCTCATGGAAGAAAGACCGAGGGAACAATAAGGAACTGGGACACTTGTAAATGAGACTTTCACAAAAGTTTACAAGAAAATTGTGATTCTCTCTCTCTCTCTCTCTCTCTTCCTTCACTCTCTCTCCACCTCCC